AAATAAATGTTTATCAAATAAAGTTTAATGTTACAACTAATCGTGGATCCCTTTAAAGAAATATGTTTTGTCTGATACGGAGTATTTTTTTCAGTTAAAGCTTATAATAATTTATCATAACCCCATGTAGACACCTTGCTGAAAGTGTGGCAGCCTTTTACACAGATTTTTATTTTTTTTGGCTTATAGTGTGTTCAGTCCTATACAGCCTAATCTGTTTATCTGCTAAGAATTTACTTTTATAAACAGAAGTTACTGTAAAATATATTTTCTAATGTAACAGCTTTTTTAGCTTTTCAAGTGTTTCATCTACACAAGTGGTCTGATATAAATGAAAGTGAACACTTTTGTGCCTTGTTTACATATGTTAACGTTTAAGTTTTATATAATCTTGATGTCAGAACTAGAGAAACTGGAAAGCTAAAAGTGCAGTAATCCTGTGTCTGCTGACGATTCTGAAACTTATTGAAGCTTGAAGACTGGTAACAATGGTGACATTTTCTTGCCAAAATGAAATGCTTTTACCTTTGTGCATGTGAGTTCATTACTGGTCAATATAAACTAAACCTGCAGAAAGTAATCATTGGTTGTACAATGTTGTAGGAGTCAGCCTGTTTCAAGATGGCCTCCACATTAAGAAAAAACATCAAAAAGTGCAATAGTAGTTGATTGTACAGGTACCGAGTTCAGTTTTGATGTGAAGGTAGCTGAGTCATTCACATTATGTAGCAAGTGTGTTATCTTGCAACATCATATTGAAAGACTGCATATTTGACCAAAACAGCTACAAACCAATTTCTAATTTTAAAAAGCTCAAAGAATGATAAGTGGGTTTTTTTCCACAGGTTGATTTAATTTGTATTTTTGATTAAATTATTAATAAATTGGAAATGATCAGACGTTTTATGGATTTTTCTTTTAAATAGTCGATAGCCGAGCAAATGTGAGGAGCAGCGGAGACGCGTCGCCGTAGCCCGAGCAGCGATCGATTACTTCTGTCTGGTCTCTGATGTAAAGATGGATGCCTGTCGAAATTGGTAAATAAACTCAATTAGGAGGTCTCGCGTGGCTGCGGCTACGGTATTTTCTCGCCGAGGGCGAAGCTTCGTGTAAACTGGGGYTTCGTGATTGTTCTCTGAGGTTTGTACATGTTTGAGGCGGACAGCCGCAGTGCAGCAGCGGCAGAGCTGGGCTCGGGGACGAGCCGCCCCGCTCTGTAGTAATCATGATGTGCTTCCTCAGCTGCGAAACAACTCCCATTATAACGTTGTACGMTGCACGTAAAGACTCAAAGTCGCTTTGTACGTTAGGCTCCCGGCTGTATTTGCTCCTGACTTGGTCATTATGTGCGCAGACTAACTGTCTCCCCACTGGCATTGTGTTTTTTACTAGCCTCGCTCTTTGTTTTCTTCAAGGTTTGCGCTAAGCTACTTCCATTGAATGGTAAACGCTCGCGGCAGCTGGGAAGAAGCTAACATCCGTCTTTCTATCTGCATTGTGTTTCTGCCTTGTGACGTTTGAGTTTCTCTTGTTTTGTGTGTTTCGCAGACTGTAAGAGTGGGAAGTAACTCCCAGGCTCCGTGTTCAGCGTGCAGTTGTGAGTACCTGCATCACGTCCACGTAATGCTGTTGTTCACGCAGGCTGATTGGCGTCCATTGTTTCAGGATTGTTGTGTCTCTACTCTCCCTCTCTCCCTGCTCTGCAGCCCTGTCCTGGCCAATGCTGGCTGCAGCTACAGCATGACCACAGCAGCGTCTGCTCATCTGGTACTTCTGGCAAATGAAAATGGAGGAGGTTTCAATGTCCAGCCTGGACAACAGCAAGCTGGAGGTACACTTCTACTGCYTGCATGAGTAGAGCAACTGTGATGGTGTTACAGGCACATCATGGCTGTGGGAGTGCTGCAGGATGTTAGGAAACACACTAATAGAAATCTTTGCTCTCCCTCCCTCGCAGGCCCTAGCTCAGGACATCCTGTCAGACCTGGTGGAGGATGCATGCCTGGGTCTTTGCTTTGAGGTCCACCGAGCTGTTAAACAGGGCTACTTTTTCCTGGACGACACAGACCAAGAGAGCATGAGGGACTTTGGTGCGCACAATGTTTGGCCTGCAGCAATGGTTTTACATAAACTGTGTAAAAGTCTCAAGTCAGTGGACATCTGGGCGTTTAGTAGAGCTGTAGACCCTTTTCAGTTTTGCCAAAACCACACAAAATACATCAAAGACAAGATTTGTCATATGGTATCTCTTTTGCTTAAGTACCAAACTACAATCAAGCAATCATAAGTAGTTTGTATTTACTCTAGTTGAGACATTCATGATGCGAAACTAACCACAGTGCAGTTTTAGTTAGGCACTTTGACAAATGCATTGTCYTACCCAGGCAGTGTGTCAAGTGTTACTTCAGTCACTCTATTATAATGCCTAGACCTCCATATCGTTTCAAAATCTATCTAAATCTTTTATKTAGTTTGTTTTCTGCTTTGGTTTGAAAGTTAGAGAAATTTTAGCTCATGACTGCAGGGATCCAAATTTTTTATTTATTTACTTATTTTTTATGGCGTTATGCAAGTAATGCAGTACTTCCTAATTTTCAACCTTTGATAGCCTCAAATTCTGAATAGGTGGTCCGATTTCTAAAAATGTAACTGTTTTGGAACCAGTGCATAAAGCCTTTAAAGTAAATAAAGAGGGAAAAAAAACTGTACAGTAACTTTGAAAATGTTATCAAAGTACCTATTTTAGTAGGCATTTTAAAATGACATTTAGAAACAATATTTTTGTTTAAAACTACTTAATTTGGTCTAGTATAGCCAATCTCGTTATATTAACTTTCACCAAAATTGTCTAATTTTATTTACAATAAATATAATTTATTGTGCCACTAATGTTATGAAAGTAAATTATGAGTGTAAGTATTGGTTTCCATTGCAGTATAATTAAAAATTTCTTTTTCATTTTGCATGATCTGTCTTGCATAGCACACCAGAAAGCACAATATGTACCATAGTGTGTTAGCTGTACCTTGTTGACTACCTTACTTTAATTTTTAAAACGAGGTTTCTTGACACGGAGTTGTCCAATTAGTCAGTTTTTAGGTTATAATTGAAAGTTTACAGTAACAGAAGTTTAACCATCGTGAAAAGAAAAGCAGCTATTGAATGTTKAAGGAACAGCATAGGCAACGATGCTATTAGGCTAAATATATTCAGGACTTTAAAGATGTTTTAACTACCTGGTCTGATTGTTTCACATATTATGGGAAATCTTTTTCATGGTGAAGTCTTAAGTTTAATTAGATTTTTATTTTTTTAGAAATCGTGGACCAGCCTGGACTGGATGTGTTTGGCCAAGTGTTCAACCAGTGGAAAAACAAGGAGTGTGTATGTCCCAACTGCAGCCGGAGCATTGCTGCCTCCCGCTTCGCTCCACACCTGGAGAAATGCCTCGGAATGGGACGAAACAGCAGCCGAATAGCAAACCGCAGGTACGACGGAGAAACGCTCACTGTTGACGTTGGCCTCTGACTGAACCAGTCCGTTACTGTCACGTAGCTGCAGAATCACTTATGGTTTCACCTTGGAATGTAATTTTTTCTTTCCTGATCAAATTGTTTGTAGCCGTGAGTAACGCTGAGTCACTGTGTGCRTCATGCCATGCTGTGTTGCAGAATAGTCACTGGTAACAACACCAACAACAAATCAGAGAGCGACCAAGAAGATAACGACGACGTCAATGATAATGACTGGTCTTACGGGGCGGAAAAGAAAGGTAAAAAGGCTCTGAGGCTTCTGAAAGACTCCCAGAAAATAGCTCACAAAAAAAAAACGTTTTAAATCTAAACTTTGTCATTTTATTCACAGCAAAGAAAAGAAAGTCAGATAAGGTACTTTCCCTGCGTGTAAATGTTTCATCCCTCTTATTTTTAAAAAGAGATTTGGGAAAATTTATGTTCTGTCTTTGCATCTCAGAATCCAAACTCCCCAAGAAGATCCAAATCCTTCAAGCATAAAAGCAGTAAGTGTACACCTTTAAACTTTAACACAAACATTGTTTAGATAATGCAACCTCCGCCAAAACATGTGGACTTATTCTTATGCAGAGTACTCTTTAAACTGGTTTATTTAAGACACAGTGATTACTATTTAAAAAATGAAAGAAATGTAGCTCTAATCTAAAATTATACAACTTATTAGCTGAACATTGTCTTTTGTAAAATCACACTTAAAAATGTATCTGCAGTTTCTAGAAATAATAGTTTTTAGAATATGTAAATAATAAAATGGGTTATAATTTATAAAACAAAAATCTGCTCAGTTAAAATCTGTAAAGGAGGAATTAAATCATGCTCACATCACCTGACTGACATGAAACAAGCAGGAGAACTGAATCTTGAAATAAATTATTAGATTATAATTATTTTTTTCTCTGGCTGTAATTCAACTAAGTGTGACAAAACGTTTGTTCTGTCAGATGTTTTGAAATTGGAGTGGTAAAAATGTAAAAGTTTTATAACAATAAAAAAATAGAAGAAATGTTAAATGTACAGGTGTAGAAGATGTTTTGCAAAAGCTGCGTGCGTTATTTATTGTTGTTTGTTGTACTCATTCTCTTCTTCTTTCGTGTTTAGCAGAAAAACTACTCATCTTCCCATGAAAATGTTTTTTCCTAGATTCTATTYCTGTCCATGTCTGCACTGTTTGTTTACCTACATTACAGCCTAATGTAGGTCAAGCAAATGACGCAAGCTTCCACTTGGTTTTTGCCAGATTCAGAAGTGCTTTGTTTACAATAAGTGTAGACCTGCATTTCAGAACTGCATTCTGTATATCTGGATTTTTGTAGTATAAGTCGTAGGTTAACGTCAATCCAAAAAAGTGTGTTTTTATTCACATAATTTAAAATGATGATTTAAGATATCATTCCCTCATCAAAAACATTCCCATTGTTTCTTTGACTCATTCATGCATGTCTGAGATTGAAACCCTGCCTTAACTCTTGCTGGTACGAAGCTCCTCCCCACAGAGCACCCCTCCCCCAAAGCATTGTTGTGAAGGCATACTGAAGTGGGAGTGTCTGAAATGGTAGAAGGTTCTTAAAGAGACGGGTCAAGTTCAAGGTGTTTTAAATAGGCTATGAGATATATACATACACACACACACACACACATACGTACGTTTATATATATATATATATAGCTAGCATTTTATAGCAACCGTGGGTAATTGTGGTATAGAATTATTGAACTASATGCCTGGAAAATACATCCTCCCTCCCCCCCCAACATTTTATATATCTAATCTAAACTTTAAAAAGAGTCAAGTGTAACAATGAATTTAAAAACACTTTTTTTGGTGGTGTTTGACCTGACATGAAACCGATTGGACCCAATAGTTTATTTGACACAAGATGATTAAAATATAAAATTTGAAAACATTGCTCACAGTGAAATACATCTTTTTTGCTCTCCTTCACAGGTACAGCCAGTAAAGTCAGTCAGGACAGTGAAGCCCATGCCCCACCCAAAGACTCCTACACTGCTCCAGCAAGGCCAGTGGGTAAGTCCTTTTTRATGTGGACTTTTAGCTGCTCAGTCAATTTRATGTGTTCTRTTTTCTGTTAGACGACGCAAAGGGTTAAACCACCTCTGATTTCTATTTATTATGTTTTCAAGAACTCGGACTTTATTGCAACCGTTTAAAATAGTCTATCTATATTTCTTCAGTCTCTTAATAGCTTTCTAAGTTTTATTTTGACCTTTTTGCTCATTTCCTGCCCAGTCTTTGTACCCGACCATGACAATAAAGTTAAGAATCTACAGCAAATGAATAGAATCTGAAAGTTTTTAAAAAGAAAATTTAGCGAAAGCAGACCTGAAATGAATTACCCTTCATCTGATCATCTACCGTACATCATGTTTTCATCTCATTCTTGGTACTAAAATACTATTTTTCCRCCCATAGAACTGTTGTTTTTGATATTTAGATGCAACAAAGGAAATTCAAGCAAACCATGTCTTTGTGACCATCTTGCTGGTACCGTTGTGTCTTAAGATCTGATTTAAAATTGGTTTGTGTAAACCCAATGTTTCACACGTGGACAAAATTGTTGGTACCTTTTTTGTTTAATGAAAGAAAAACCCACAATGGTCACAGAAATAACAAGAATCTGACCTCCTCATATTCAGTAACTTTTGATTGACTTGCTATGTTTGACACTTWGCTGTCTATTCCTCTGTAGGTATGATGGGTCCTAGACGTCGTATGGAYAACCAGGAGAGTCCTCGCATGTTGATGAAAGACGAGACATTCTCTCAGTAACRCACTTGGCAACAAAAACACATTCTTTTATCATTTGTGTGTAAACRAATCACACACAAAAAGGAGACCAGTGGCACCTGAGCTTTGGTTCTTTATATTGTCAAACTGATGGACGTCAATGTTTAGAGGTGACATTAGTGGTGTGTTGCTGCTCAGCAGAAGAAGCCCTGAAACCTCCCAGTCTGGACTTGACTGACTTGTCTTTTTATTCACAAAATCATTGTACCAAAATATTTTTTTCTTTTTTTAAGTTACTCTTCAGTCCAGAAAACAGTGATTATGATGATGTGTCATACTGCACAGAGAAGGAATCTGAAACTGATTCAGTGGCTGAGCTGACAGCCGTGTTAAGTGGAAAGAATCTGCACATACAGTATTTTGTTCTTAAAACTTAAAAGATTAGGTGAACTGGTATTTTAATTTTGAAATCACGTTCTAAAGAAAAAAMAYAATGTCAAAGACTATCATGATAATGGTTTGTCTTCTGTTTTCTCTGTCAGGGTTCTTGTTCTCCAGCTGAATCACAACACAAGCAGCTCTGTTTGTTGTTCACCTGTGGACACTTGTTTCAAAAGGTTCAGTAAATGAGCCTCTAATTGTACAAAACAGCTGAAGACAGCAGGTTTCTGTTTGATTTTCTTTTTTTTTTTTCGGTGGATAGATCAATTTATTTTCTAGCATTCAAATGCGTCTCTTTGTATCATGTTTACATTGTAAAGGGTTGCATATGTCTTTGGTGTGATGTAGTAGTGTAAATATTCTAAAAGTTAAATTGCTGCTATCATGGCTCAGTTTGTTTCATCTGTCTAGCATAATAAATAATTTCTTACCTGTCGCAAGGCTGTGTTTGCATTTAGCTGACCAAAAGAGGGCGCTGTTGGTCAAATGAGCKACTCATTTAATCTGCGCTMAMATTGGGTTTGTCTCTACAGTTTTTMCCCCTGCACTGTWTTTAGTGTATTAAAGGCAGCAGGTATGAGATGGGTTATAAGCATGGCCAAATATATTGCACTGTGTTCTGCAGTTAAATTCAAGACATTGTCCATTATCAACGCTTTAAACAAATTGTGTTGAATTGTACTGCTGCAAATATGAACACTGGTTTATGAGTAGAAACTGTCAAAATATAACAAGGTTGAAGAAAACACAACAAACTAGAGAAATGTAATTTTCTGTGAACATGTTAGTGTGAATACTGAGTGCCCAATGAATGCTGAAGTGCCTTGARAAATGAATTTTAACGAATTAAACAAGGACAACAGAAGCCAAAATAAGGAAAACATAGTTTAATGATAAAAGTATCCCCTCATCTGCCAAAAGTCAAAATGGCAAAAATGAAGCTAAATGTTAAAATTATCAAAAAAAAGTCAGATAAAAGCTAAAAATGCAAAATAGCTGCTACCCAAAATAAAAAATAAAATTAGGTAAAAGGCTAAAAACTTTGGGGGGATACTAGCTAAATAAATGCTAATTAAAACAAAACTATTGTTAAACTTTTTAAAATCATTTGTTTTCTAATGATGTACACTTTTTAATAAGATGTCCAATAAAAGTTTTCAAATTGTTTTTGTAACAAAAAAAAAAAAAAAAACGTTAGGAAGTTGATAAAAAGCTGCTAAAATGAAGAAAACCGATATGTCCGATAGTTTTGAATGCAACACTGTGTGTCTTGCGTGTGGGCAGTGATTACATTCTGAATACTTTATTTAGCTTTTAAAACAAGTTTGTCAGTCAGGCGCTGGAGTATGTTGCAATAGCAGACCAGGGAACCAGTAAAGTAGATGTTATGTGATCTTGTTTAGTCGAATAAACACGGGCGGGAAATGACAGCCAACGAGCAGAAACAAGGTAGGAAGGAAATCCCGGAACTCAGACGGTCGCGCTAACGTTAAGCTAGCTTTTTGTTGACAGTCTGCTTTGCTGTCAAACCAGCCCGGACCTCAGTCAGCGCAACAGCAGAGAGACAAACACTTACTTTCCGACTGAACACGAGTGACTTCATTTACCAGCTTGTACYATTTGGACCCGAGTTCGTGTGAAGTTTCTTGGACTTATTGAAACCACTTGTGGAGCTAGAATGGCATCGAGAGGRAGCTTCGCGGCTCCTCAGATGAATCCGAACCTGAACCCTATGAGTGTTGGCCATGTTGCGGGCATGAGGATGCCCGGGATGCCGCAACCCCCAGCGGGTTACCACCGGAGCATGAACACCGCTCCCCAGTACCCCCAGGTTTGAGTTTTATTTATAAAAACAGAACACGTCTGAATGGCATTGAGCTGCTTTCACTTTGTTACATTTTCTAACTGTAGGGTTAAAAATTTAATCCTTTATTACACTTAAATCTGTGTGGGTGTTGCTGCTTCTTCCGCCTTTGAAAGTCTTTGCAGTGACTTCCTGGCGYCTGACTAAATGGTTTGTTTTATAGGATTTCCAACAGCTGTAGACCTCTTTTTATCAATAAAACATTTAATTGAAATAATGCACAAAAACATGTTCTTTTCAAGTGTGAAAGTCACGTGGTTGCCCTTGGCCTCCTGTCAGTTAGTGAAAACAAGTTTATCATCACCAGCATCTGCCCAGGGGCAGGTCTGTGTGCAGATATTATTCCAGTTGTGGAGGAGGTGGAAGCTTACTTTGCACAATTAGTTCCTTTTTTTCTGATATTTGGGTTTTTTTTATTGAAGGAGAACAAAACAAACTCGAGTTTTTGGATCAATGAAGTCAAGAGACACTATATTGGTGAAAAATATACTCCAAATATGGCAGTGTTTTGTGCAAGATTACAATCATTTCTTTGAGGACTTGTGCTTGCATCAGTGAATCAATGCCAAATACCAGTTTAGATTCAAACCCTCCAACATTTGTGGACCTAGAAGTGAAGATTTACTTGTTGTGCTACATGACCAAGTAAGATCTAAAATGCAACATTAAAATATTTAGGTTTTTTTCCCAGAATATATGCACAATATATTTGGTGCTAATGACAGTTTTAGACACATTAGACTTTTTCTTTTACTAGGGACTTCGTCAGTTTAAYACCACAAAACTTGCTTTTCTTTTGCTCTAGTCTGAGCCCTTGAAAAGCTGTTTTTGCGGGGCCCACTGCTAACGGTCGGTTGTTACCACATGAGGGGTGTGGTTTAGAAAAGTCTTTATGCAAACAGCAAGTGTAAGAATCGACATAAAGACCAGGAGTTTTTCATTTTCAGAACTTGAGGTAGGCTACTTTACCTGGCAGGGATCCGAACGTTGCGGCTGAACAACGTAGTTTCAGTACGCCACATTCATTTTAAATACTGAGTTTGAATCATTTCAGTCATGTCCTTTTGACTTCTCTTGCTAAATTCTGTTTGAACTTGTGCAACTCTAAAAATATAGCTTCTTGAATTAATTCCACTAGGGATGCACAGATGTGAAAATTTCAGCAGGTATCGATATCTGATATTATTGCTGTTATGGCCGATAACCGATATTAAACAAACACACCTATTATATTATACGCAAAAACCCACTTGGGTCTTTTTTTGATACTGTAAATAAACGACCACACCTCTGACATGGCTCCCTACTTCAGTTATTCCTGGTTACGCAGCCGCTATCATGATCAAACAGATGCCACTCAACCAAACATTTCTCCTCGCAAAACAGAAACACAAAGTTAAAAACTGGGAAATCAATATCGGCCCAGTTTTACATATCGGATCGATACCGAAATTTAAAAAAAAAAGGACCAATATCRGCCGATATCGATATGCCGATATATTGTGCATCCCTAAATTCCACCAAGAAAAGAGAGATTTAATTTTCATTCTTCCATTATCTGAAAAAAAAACTCTTTGGGGTAAATAATTTCTCAACATTAAACTGATTAAAGAAGTACAGATGTATTGAAGAGGGGGTTCTATGAAAACGTTATGAATGGTTAATATCTTACCTGTTGTGGATAACTTCTTTTTATAGCCTCAGAGTTTGAACTGATGATCTAGCCAGGATTAGGCATCGCTGAGCTAACAGCTCATYCAAGCGAGGTCTTCTACTTAAAATGTTTTACCTCTTCATCAGTGGCACGTTACACTGAATTCTATGGCTGTTTGCTATCCTGAATTGCAGCAGCTAGCTGTAGCACGTCTGGTGCAATCTAAGGAACTTCCAGCAGAAATATGACATTCATGCCAGAATAAAAGTGTGAAAAACAAAACTAACAACAAAATACAACAATTTGAAAAAGTAAGTGCCTACAATTGATTGCCAGATCTTTGATTTCAGATGAAAATCTACTGGAAGAATAAGCTTCCACCGTTMAGAAGAAAGCTTTAGTTTGCAACAATGGGCCTCATGCAAGAACCGTTYGTACGCACAGATTTGTTCTTAAGTTGTGCGTACGAGTGATTTWGGARAATTTGTGGCATTCACCAATGTTTTCRTATTCTAAGATTTTTTTCAGATACGAACAAAATTCACGAGTGGTCCAGACCTGTCGTATATTTTACGAGCAGTCAGTCTGCTGTTATCCAGACGGGTTTTCTTCACTAATAACTTTATATTTCGCTAGTTTGAAGATATTTTGAGTTGAAAATAAATTACACTCCATAATTATGTTGACAATAGGCTATTCTGCTTGAATTACTTATAATTTTAAATGTAATAATTTAGACTAACAATATAAATTGTCCGTCGGGCCGGCTTATCCGCTATCGGGTGCGGGGGCAGCAGGAGACCCCGCTCTCCGCAGCGACACCTTCCAGCTCGTCCTGGGGGACTCCGAGACGTTCCCAGGCCAGAGGGGATACATAATCCCTCCAGTGAGTCCTGGGTTTTCTCCAAAGTGCCAGACTTATTTTGAAAACATTTTAAAATGCTTATTTCAGAACCACAACCGAGACCACTTGAGACCGTGCGCGGGGGGGGGACACGGTGCACAGCGCTGTGGCTTCTGAATAAATGAAAATGATTTAACACAGTTGTTTATACTTTTAGCAGCTCTTTTTATTCCACAGCTGACCTGCTAAAAATGACAGATTTTTTTTCCTGGATCTCTGACAGACGGACTTCAATCTCTGAACTTGTAAAGTTTTTCTTTTTTAGTTTTCGCTGTCATTTTCATGAATGAACACTTCCTGATATCTGAGGCAGGAAACATAGTCTTATATGGTGTTTTTGGGGTGGTAATTATGCTAATCTCCTCTCGCGTGCACGAGCAGCTGATACGAACAGGTGAAATTTACGCAGCTCATTTACACACTTTTCCTGAAGATAGAAGAGTTTGTTGAATCTGACGTGRCATGTTCGTACGAACCCTTYGTACGAACAAAAGTAAGAGAAATTTAGGATAAGAATACGAACATGTTCTTGCATGAGGCCCAATGTCTTTTGAAATTGTAGAATTTTTATGAACCTGAAATCCTAGCTCCATCCTCCCTTCTTTTCACTTCAGCGTCCYGGGATGCCGCCCAGCAGAGTCGGAGGCCCCATGGGGTCACTGGGGGGTCAGCTGCCTGGTCCCTCCTACGGCGGTGGCAACATTCCTATGCGGCCAGGCATGGGACCTCCAAGCATGGACCCCTCAAGGAAGCGTTTTCTCCATCAGCAGCAGCAGCAGGAGGCGCTGGGAGGCCTGAGGCGAGGGTAAACTGGAGGGGGATCATTTGTGAGCGCAGGAGAAGAATAAAACAAAGCTTTATGAGGAATCTTTATTTACTCATTTCATGAATCAGAGCTAAAATAAACATAAAAATTAGAGTTTTTGAACTTGTTTTTTCTTATTTAAAGCCAAAACCAAAATATTGCGTTGTTCTGTAAATTTTAGTAGATTAAAACATCATTTTACCTCTCAGGCTTTTACTCGAGATCAGTTCAGCGTCACATGTTGAATGGGCCTTTTTTCCCCCCCAAAAAACTTGATGTTTTCAATTTGTAATTAAACGGCTCATTTAGTTCCAGACAATCCAGTTCAATGGTATAATTATTTCTTTTACTGATTTTGTTTCCTGAGCTGATTACTGATTTCGAAGAATTGCTGAAGTGAGTTATAAAGTGTCGGTTTGTTAAAAGCACAGCTCGGCTATTAWAAACCAAAACCATCCGGCATCCCATGACTGTCCTTTTTTGCTTTCGAAGCTGCAGAAACAAGCGGCTATTTTTGACATCAAGCTGCGCGATGACGCTGAAAGTGTCAAAAACCACACGGTGAAGCATCGTTTACAGCCTCATCCACAATGAATGTGTTGTTCTGAAGTGTTTCACAACAGCATTCTTGATGTTGGAGGATTTAATGAACCTCATTGCTCAAAGTATCATACTCGTTTTTCCATTAAAACACTTGGAAAATGAAATCATGATGGAGTGACCGTAACTTAATTAAAGAAACAAAACAACTCTTGTGATTTTAGTAGTAACACAAAGAAACCTCTAAGGTTTTCAGAAGATTTAATAAAAACAAACCTTGACCAAGGTGGATCAGTTCAGCTTGTGTTGTCAGTGTGTCTAAGAGTTAACCATAGGGGCTATTTGCAGGCTGTAAGGTTTTTAGAAAATACCTCTTTTGTATTTTAGGAAATTTAGTTTTTTTTTTCATTTGTTGCATTCAAACTAAACCTACAGAATTCATGAATTGATGTTATTTGTGTTGTTTTTAGAGCAAAACGACGCAAGATGGCTGACAAGGTTCTGCCACAGAGAGTATGTGAACTCTGACTTCTTTTTTTAAAAAAAAGGTTGTTAAACATGGCTAAATTCCATTAAAAATCAACTTTTTAATGATTGCTCTTCAGATCAGAGACCTGGTTCCAGAATCCCAGGCCTACATGGACCTTCTGGTTTTTGAGAGGAAACTGGATCAGACCATTGCTCGRAAGCGCATGGAGATACAGGAAGCCATCAAGAAGCCCATTATGGTATTCCCTCTTCATCCTGTGTTTTTAATAAAAATTAGATGTTTTTGGATTATTTCAGGTTTTGTTTGCACACTAAATGAGTGTTGTTTTTTCCAAATAATGCAAAGTAATGATGAAACATCCAAATAGTATTTTTCTCATGGTTCATTTTTGTTTTCTAACCATTTACTACTGAAGTGTTTGTACATTTGTTAGTGATTTTAGGTGCTCAGCAAATAATTTAGGTCACAGTTCAACATGCAGTCAAGTGAGGAAAAATATCAGTCAACTTTGTTTCTGTAGCACATTGAACAGAAACAAAGTTGACCAAAGTGTTCACCAAGTTTATCTAAAAAAAAAACAACGTCTTCAGTCTGAAGAAGTCTCTGAGGAAAGATGAAACATTTTTTCTACAAAGAACCCATCCAAAAGACTTGATCAAGTTTTTTAGATTTTTCTACCTGGATTTTTGAGATTCATCAGGACATTCACCAAGTTTAGTTAAATATCATTAAAAATAAACAAATACAATAATGTAGTATAAAAACAACCTTATTTTATAAAAAGCCTGAAGGGACTCTGACTGAACTCGAATTAAAATGTGAGAAATACAGACATTGTTCAAATGAGATTATTAGTTGTGTTACTGTTTTTGTGTATTTGACTGTACAAAGACACCCCACACTTTATTTTGGGTGTATGTTTTAGTTAGATTGTTCATTTCTGAGAGTACTGGTATTTACTGGATGTCACTGAATGCACNAAAAAAACAACGTCTTCAGTCTGAAGAAGTCTCTGAGGAAAGATGAAACATTTTTTCTACAAAGAACCCATCCAAAAGACTTGATCAAGTTTTTTTAGATTTTTCTACCTGGATTTTTGAGATTCATCGGGACATTCACCAAGTTTAGTTAAAAATCATTAAAAATAAACAAATACAATAATGTAGTATAAAAACAACCTTATTTTATAAAAAGCCTGAAGGGACTCTGACTGAACTCGAATTAAAAGCCAAAGTAAAACAGAAAACAAAGTGAATTTCCCGCTTCTTTAATTTAAAAAACTGTCTAAAACGTAATCTACAGTAGAGCAAATACATCTAGTTTAAAAGAAAAATAAATATGCATGGCATCAGCATCATGGTTTAAGGAAATATTGTACTTTGTGAAAAGTGATCCCAAAGGTGCCAGATACAGTAGACTATAAAAAGAATTGGACCCTAAACAGATCCTTGAGGTACACCACAGCATTGGGGGCTGAGGAAGAGGAGGGTTCTCCCTTAAATAAGAATTAAAAGGCCCCGATTGAACTACTTAACCATGTATTCTCTCATATTAGAAAAGATCGTGATAATGATAGTTGGATAGAAGAGTTGCGGATTTGCTTGCACCAACCAAACAAAAAAAAAAAGAGTAATCTCAAAGAGGGCTTGGAAAGTCTCCAAATTCCAGTTTAAAGTACATGGAGGCAGAGTGAGAGCATGGGCACGCAAYGAAACTGGATCATAGGGGTTGCTGATGATGTGATAGAAGACACAAAACACCTGACAAACTTTGTGAGATAAAGACGCAACGGCTCAGATTCAGCCAAACGCATCAAAGTTGGTTTAACGGCAGTTTAACGTACAGATGAACAAGATCCAGGAGTTTTTGTAAAGAAAGAAATAAAGGACAAAACAGCTGAAGTAAAAGCATCTCATAGAAAGGAAAATGTAATTTTTGTTGACGAGGTTATATATAAAATGGAAATTTGAACAATTATATTTGATTAAAGCCTTTCTTAAAGAAATACATATTGCTCAAYGTCTTCCTTGCTAGAAGTTTAGACTAAAAATGATCTTACATTGTTCAACGTAAAGCATTTTCTGGTCTGAATTTCTGTCTTCCTGTTTCTCCAAATAACGCAGCAAAAGCGCAAACTCAGGATCTACATTTCCAACACTTTCACTCCCAGCAAGCCCGAGGGTGAGGAGGCAGAGAGAGTTGCCTCCTGGGAGCTGAGAGTTGAAGGCAAGCTCCTGGAAGAGGTCAGTGAGAGAAAAAAACCCCTCCTGGCACATTTGGACTGTTCGTGCATTGTTTGACCGTTGTCTCATTGTGTTCTGCCTCCAGATGTTTTAGTCCGTTGTTCTGCTCTTTTCAGTCAGCCCGGGTTTTTGGCTCGGGCTTTTGCAGCCAGATGTGTGTTCCAGCTTTTCTGTGTCCCACCCCACCACGGCTAACGCTCTCTGTTTCTCACACAAGCACATGTTCTGTGTTGAAATGTGGAATTGAAACCACTGGCCGCTGCATACCATGAGCTGACATGCCTCCCCTCCCTCCATCAATTCCAGCTCAGCTCATTGTGTCATCTGGGGCCAAAGAAGATGGATGTTTTTTTTTTCCCCTTCCTGCTCCTTTGGGTTTAGGCATGTGTAGGAGCTCTGCATGAAGCAACAGTGAAGAGAAAAAAAAAGGGATGTCAGAGAAAAGGAGTGAAGGGGGTCCTGTTGTGCAAACAGACTTTGACAGGGCAGCGAGGAGGGTGGGGGCGCAACAGCTTTTTCTACTCAGCAATTTGGTTCCTCATCCCTGATGTGGTCAGAGCTAAACAATGCAGCTCCAGACTCTCTGCACAGTAACGAAACACGGATGGCAACGCTTTTCCGTCGTACCTTCTGACGCTCTCTCTGTTTTCAGGCCGGCAAGCAGAAGAGGAAGTTCTCGTCTTTCTTCAAAAGTCTTGTGATCGAGCTCGATAAGGAGCTTTACGGACCAGACAATCACTTAGTGGAGGTATGATGAAGAGAGTCATGAAGACATTTAAATGAAGTGAAAGCATCAATTTGASATTTAGCTGCAGAGCCACATTCTTATATTTTTGATCCAAACTAAAAAA